TGAAGATGAACAACGTGCTGAATCTGATTATAACAAGACTGAAGAAATAAAAAATTATCAGGGAGGAAAAATCTGAGGGGGCACGTGCCCCCTCACTTTGAATGGGCATGACGCCACTGGTCCCCACAGTCACCAGATCTCAACCCAATAGAGCATATTTGGGATGTGGTGGAACGGGAGCTTCGTGCCCTGGATGTGCATCCCACAAATCTCCATCAACTGCAAGATGCTATCCTATCAATATGGGCCAACATTTCTAAAGAATGCTTTCAGCACCTTGTTGAATCAATGCCACGTAGAACGAAGGCAGTTCTGAACGCTAAAGGGGGTCAAACACAGTATTAGTATGGTGTTCCTAATAATCCTTTAGGTGAGTGTAAATATATAACATATAAATTTAGCATTGAAAGGTTGCCTACCTGTCTATAGTTCATATTTCAACATGTTTCTGTCTATTTCATACATTTTAGGCTGGCACCAGCTTAACTAGTTGCTACAATGTGAAGTTATGCAACAATAACACACTTACTATGAGTGGAAATTGCTTACCTTAAAAATCTTTTTCATCTTCAAATCGCGTTCTTCTAATTCTTCTGAGGTAAATCCAAGGTAAACAGCACAGCACACCACAACGTGTCTTCCAAACTCGATGAAAAGCAGAGGACTGATGAAGTCTAATGCTTTGTTTTGAGGTGATGGGGGCGTTTACAGGTCTGCGTTCCTTCACGTGGACGATTTTCATGTGAATTGCTCTTGCGCGCGTGGGTGTGGTCACATTAGAGGTAATGAGGACGTGCTTGAGAAACTGTAGATCTCGTTGCTTTCATACGGATTACTTAAACAGAGAATATTTGTTTTTGATGTGATTTTTACATCATTTAAAATAGAGACTTTGTGAATAAATATGTCTCATGTCTCTGTGGCAAGCATTCGTTTAGTTACAGATCATTTTCTGTCGCGTTTCAGAATGAACGTCACACTGAGAGAGACGGCAGAACGCGCATCATGTTTATTTTCTTTATTTTGCGAAAAACAAATTTTGTGTACACAAATAAAAGTAGACATTTAACAGTTTTGAATGATGTATAACACTTGCCTGTGTGACAAAAATCTACAGAGTTATTTGAGTCTCTTTCGCACTGATAGGAAAAAAGGCGAGGTAATCGCGCTGGCGTGACCGCGTGTTATGTTAAATGTGTTAAAAAAAACTTTAATTTGATGCAGATACATCTGCAAACTTAATACCTAAAAGCGGTACACTTTGAAGTCATCACAGAACAGGTTTATACAGAAATCTCAATTTCAAACTGCAAATACTGTATCTTCACTCCACTTTACCACCGATGGATGGCTATGACATGACCATCACACAGCATTCGTTAGATTACACAACAGAGGCTGAGAACCACAGAGAACTACCAATTAAACGGAAATGCTAAAAAAATATAATTAAGCAATCAAGCTGCTATCAAAGAAAATCAGCAAATTCCGTAAATCAGGGCTATAAAAGCACAAAACACAGATGCACAAATTACTACAATTACTTACACAATAAAGGTGCTCTAAGCGATGTCACACGTTTTTTAGGCCCATGGCCGTGCACAGGGGGGTGGCCCGGTGGCTAGAGCCACTGCCCTTCTGCCCTCATCAGCTGAGGTGCCCCTCTCGCCCCCTCCCTAACCCTCCAGAGGATTTCCATAAAAACGTTATGTTATCGCTCCAGAATTTTCGCACGTTAAAAAATAAATACGACCTCACGTTATGTCAATCACACTTGCACACTGCCTCCGAAACTTTCGTCCGTCATAAAAAAATCTAATTGGGTAAAAATCTAATCGAACCGTAGCCAGCAGTTTGAATGGAGTTTGAATGGTGTTTTGACAATTCAGAGCCAACGAATCACGAATACGAAAAAACGCAGTGTGCAATGGCCCTTATTCTGTATTTTTTTCTGTGCGTGCACACACACACACACACACACACACACACAACCCGACGCGTGCAGCCCTGCACATAGACAGAGCAGCGCGCAAGGACTGAACTGAGCTCTCTTTCGCGTCTGAATGGACAAATACACACAACATTATGTCTAAATGTCCGTTTTGGAGATTATTCACTTAAACGCAGTCAGTTATGTCTTTAAAGAACATACAGTTGTGAGAATATCGGATGTGCATCAGTGCAATTGGATCTGCACACTCGGTCTTAAAGTGACAGTGCGTAATAAACCTAATGCCGTCTGTGCACTTAATATTAATCAAACAATAAAATAAAAAGAGAAAAGCATTCACTGCTCTTTAATAGCTTTAATAAGGATTAATTATATTTAATTCAGACAAATAAATATGTCTGCTTGAAAGAATAAAGAATGATGTATGTAAGACTTTAATTTTAAGATATTATTTTATGTCACAGTGCTAAATATGTGTCTGTATTGCATGTTCAAACTTTAAAAATTATTAATATTATCAGGTTAATAGATATTTTCTACGGGAATATATAATGGGTTTGGACATTTTAGAGAAATTCTAAATTAATGCATTACAATTTAACACTAAACCCATTAAATTTTAGTCGACTAAATCTACTGTAGATTTAGTCGACTAAAACCTTATTGTATTTCGTTGACTAAAACTAAAACAATTCAGATGACTAAAATATGACAACTAAATGGCATTTTAGTCAAAAGACTAAGACTAAATCAAAATTTGCTGTCAAAATTAACACTGATCTAAATGAATAGTACCTTAGTATATTAGCTAGGTTACAATGGGGCTAAAGGAACACCCTAACATTTGCTTTTCACATATGATTGCAGAAAAATATATGTTTGAAAATTGATGGAGCAACAGATTTTGTGAAAATAAATCATAAAGGTGGTTTGTTAGTTTAAAAATCGTATTAATGTATGAGGTGGCAAGGAGGTAGCCTACACACGGGGTAAAACCAGCACAAAAGACACATAGTATTGATACAAATACTTTAGCTAAATTAATATACTTTTAATAATCCCTAAGTTGATAGTTTATAGGTCAAACTCAAATTGGGGGAGGGGGGTTGGGTCACCATCTTGTATGTTGTCAGTCAAACTCCTTATAGTGCCCCCTTTTTTGGTTTAAGCCACTGCCCTTCAAAATGTCTGTGCACGGCCCTGTTTAGGCCAAAACATTTTTTGTCACATTCAGCAAACATCTCCTCACTATCCGCTAGCTGCCTGTCCCCTGAACACACTGTAAAAAAACGCGGTCTCTGTAGACACCCCAGGCTCCACAAACGGCAACAAAAACAAACTGTACCAACCCGCACCACGAAACATAACAAACAGTGTTCCAGCCAATAACCGACAAGAAGCATTTGGGGGTGGGGTTTGGGGAGTTAGTGCGCGTACACATGAAGGGGGGTGTGGAGGAAAGAGAAGCATGAAGAGGGAAGTTAGAATTATATTCTCTTTAAGTTTGATATGGGCGACACACGACCAAAGAGACGACGCTCCGATGAACAAATTGCAAAGAAGAGGGAAAAGGATAAGGAACGCGCGAAGTCCCGAATTTACATTGGAAAAGCCTTCGAAAGGTGGCGAGAACTTCGCCGGCAGAAGGGCTTCCAATCCGACATCAGGTAGCTCTGTTTTTGCTGGACAGGTCAGTAAATCCATTTTTTTGTTTTTCTAAATGGACATTCATGTTCGCCTAACCAACACAATGGAGGGGGACGGGATGAGGAGGAGGGAGGGTCGAGCTAGCCTCCATTTTGTTTGACAATACTTTGAAACGTCAACAAGAAGTGACAACACCTAACATCGCTTACTATCACCTTTAATATCAAAGGATGCAGGATATCTTCGTGCTGAGGGTGCTGCACCAAATGCCATGCAAAAAAAGGTTTATTAAACAGTGCATTTCAACTTTTGAGAAAGGCATTTAAATGTAACATCTTACGCAACAAAAATAACCTTTAAAAGATTTTTGTCAGTGAGGCACAATGCAAGTGAATAGGGCAAACTTGTAAACATTTAAAGTGTTCACTGTTTTAATAGCATATAGCCACAAGACTTAAATAATATGCAAATAACATGACTTAGTGTTAATCTACCTACTAACATTTTCTGTGTGAAGTTTTTACGACTTTGTTGAAATTACAATGATATGCCTTTAACCCTATGACTGTAAAATGATGATTAAACCTGTGCACCTCAAATACTATACATGTTTTATCAAGAATTTATGTAAATGCTTTTACCAACATAAGCTTTACATTTCTGCTTGTAAATTAATTTTTATTGTAAGTTTTTTTTTTTTTAAATGAGGGACAAGGCAAATTATTTTTTGTGGTAATCAGCATTGTGCCTCAAATGCTGTCGACTGTGCGTTAAATTGCATTAAACCCTGAACAATCCAGCTATCATTCTGAGGAATGAATTTGGAAATTAATTTAAATTAACTGCTTAAAATAAAAATAAAAATAAAAAGTTGTCTTGTTAATTAGTAGACAGTATTAGACAGTATTGCAGGTTGCACTATTGTTATAGAGTAGAAATCCACCACAGAAAATCTCAGCACCCCCAACTTAAAACATCGCATTTATATTTCCTAATATCAATATTAAACAGTTCTCCAAATTATCACGAACTAGTATTCAGGTGATATGATTTGAAATATGGTACGATATGAGCATACGCATGCATCACATCTCTTCGTGATACGCAATAGGCTACATTGATAATTTATGAACCATTTGAGAAGGCTGTCCGGTAGGCTTTTTTTCCCGCCATGTACTGATTTGTTTTTTGATCCAAGGCAATTATTGATTGATTGGTTGATCTTGTAGGGTAATATTAATCATTTCGTTTATTATCTTTAGTTCAAAAGACTATACCAAATCCAAACCTCACGAGTAGCCTACCCTCTCTCTTCCCCTCTCTCTCATACACACACATACGCACGCATAATAACACATCTGATCTATAATGCCGGCTGTGTTCCTGTGTTTATGTAACTTACTTCTTCAGTCCTCTCCTCATCGACGCTCGCGTTACCGTGTGGTCGCTGCGGTCCGGTTCAATTTCTGCAACTCCATTTCTTCTGATCCGTGATAGGGTAGATTTGTTTGCTGTTAAACTGTCCGAGCCTCATAGAAATGTACAGCTTGTTGAATGAGTGAGAGGGATGGGAACCGAATCGCACCTCCTCTAGATAAGAGACTTAAATGACGCAAGACGCGCGAGAGCGGTTCGTGATCTGTGCTGGTTGGTTTCAACCAGGCTGATCATAATTGTGCTCTTGACTCTTCAGCTCAGATCAGCCCTGCTCCAGTGCTGTTCAGAAATAATCCATCCAGAAATTTAAAAAAATCGTATGTTTTGCTGCATTTGGTAAGGGAAAGGCAATAGCTATTTATTATTCGAACTGGCTGCCATGCCAAAGTAGCCTATGCATGGCTGTTCAAATGATAGTGGTTTGATGTGATGTTAAAGCGTTTATGCTGAGATGTGTAGGTTGTAGGTGTTTTTAAGGAGGAATCGCATCTTGCCTTACCCTAGAGTTGGTTCAACCTTCACCCACCGCCTATATAGGCTATGTGTGTGTATATATCATGTCCCAGTTAATGTTGGCGCATTTTCCTGCTTAACTAAACATTACTATGCATAAAATTGATAAAACAAATAAACAAATATTTTGTATTTTTACATTGCCTATGTAATTAATGTTCTATTTAATTAAGCTCTCATCAAGTTAGTGCTTTTAACCATTTTTACATTTATTCCAAAACATAAAGAAGGCAGTTACAATTCAAAAATATATTTTATTTGTGAACTGATGTTCAGCTTTTCTTTTTAAAAGTCAACTTATTTTCGGCTGTTATCAATCTCGGTACAGGCTAGGCCTACCTTTAATTTCACCAAACTGATTGCTCACTAAACCCCCTCCCCTACTCCCCCACCACTTTATTTATGAATAATATTAATTTAAAAAAGATATAAAATAGTCATGGTTTAAGTAAAGATATACTTACCAAAACTCATAATTTTGTTATAAATAGAATATTTGATGTAATGTGTCCACTTAAACACTGACAAGCATCCTATGTCAGAAATTGCAGCCACATCAGCAGCAGAAAGACTTTGTTGTGCAAGCAGATATTTTGACCCAGAAAAAAAGAGTACAAAATGAGAAAGGGACAGAATAAAAAATATACAATTGAAGGCATTGTCTCCCTTCAAAGCAATTACATTCTTCAACCCCGTCATACTAATCTCAACTAATCTATTAGGGAAAAAAGAGGGAAGATGATTAAAAATGGCAGAAAAGGCATTTCTTGCTAATTCCAACCTGACATGTTAAGGACTAACACGATAAAATAGTGATTTTAGTTAACATTTAAATTGAAAACATTTTATTAAATGACTAGTATTAAAACTAGTGTAGTCCGGTCAGGGAAGCATACACCCTAGCTCTAAAGTCATTTGCAGTGCGCAGCTAAGCAATGAAGTACAGTGTGCTTCCTCATTCACAAACATGATTTCTGCTCCCGTCGTACTGAATTTCATTGTTGTGGAGGTGAAGATGACGACTCCCATGATTCCACACTAATTCACGGGATCATCAAGCTATGGTGTTGTTAGCGTTAAATGACAGACCTTTGCGGTAAACATACCTAATATGTATTTGCACAGTATGTTACCAATAATCTAGATAACAAGCTTAAGCCACAAGCATGTGCTAACTTTAACACAGCATGTGCAATTATCGTATTGAAAAAATAATGCTCATTCTTTATTCTATGCAACGAGATAAGGCTAAAACAACGCTTTGATTACCACAGCATGTCACTTAGTACAGTATGCTCAATAATAAGCCAAAGTAATGAGAATATATTTTATAACATTTGCATTGCATTGCAAATGGTGGATGCTGCACATTGGTTGTGGTTGAGGAGATTCCCGCTTCCGTAAAGTGCTTTGAGTGGGCAGAAAAGCGCTATATAAATCTAACAAATTTTTATTATTATTATTAGCAACCAGTACAGTACTGATAGCAATGTTGCTGAAACAACGACACGCATTTTGCTGATACCTGGATAAGCTTAGCACAGCATGTGACAATGACACCAGAAACAGGCCTAATACACAGCCATGTTCCCGACTGGGCTAAATAACTTTAAAACAACCATGTTTCCAATAGCAATTAACAGCTTTTAGAGCAGTGGTTCTCAAACTTTTTTTTTTGATCACGCCGCCCTTTAAAAAAAATCTGAGCATATAGCCTTAAGCACAAGCATGTTTCAATAACAACAGATAGCCTTTAGAGTAGCGTTTCTCAACAGGGGCGTTTGGACAGTGTTGGTGTGAACGAGGCAGCAAGAGATGGTTATTCATCACAACTTTTAAGCCTCTGACAACACATACAATGTTCATTTGAATTTCAAATAAAATGATGTCTATACAAATTAATGAATTAATATTTAAATGTTGCTAGTAGCCCAGTCAGACTTGTCCGGCTAGTTACCGGCAAATGATCTCCATAGCAACGCCTAAAAACAAATGCCGCAGCCGGCAGCTGTCAGAGTGGTAGAAAGAACGCTGAACAAACATCATTGCGGAAAACAAGAAGTGCAGACAGTATAGTGTTGAGTACTTTAGACATGGCTTTATTCCCTCACCCACTAACATCCAGCTCCCGATGTGCCTGCTTTGCCAGCAGGTTTTCTCTAACGAGGCAATTAAACCGTCCCATCTAAAGGAGCACCTAACTAAAATTCACCCCGATAAGGCATCCAAGGATGCTGCGTATTTCCAGGACCTCAAGGAGCAACTTTCAAAACAGTCCATCTCCAAGATGTTCGCTAGGAAGTTAAACCAGACATCTCTCTCCTGATAGCGAAGTCCGGGTTGCCATTTACAGTGGGGGAGAAGCTGGTTATCCCAGCGACTATCATGGAGAGAGACCCATCGCCAGTGCGTTATATGTCTGAGAGAGATGCGGCCGAGGACGTTTTGTTTGCCAAATATCTCTCCACTGACACACGAGGGGAGACGATCTTCAGGGCCCTGAGTGACTACCTGCTGGAGAACTGTATTCCGATCGCCAACATCCTCGCCTGTGCCACAGATGGAGCTCCCGCTATGGTTGGTAGGTACCGTGGCTTTGCAACTTTGTTAAAGGAGCTTGTGCCGCAGGTGTTAACAGTGCACTGCATGTTGCACCTTCACAATTTAGTGGCCTTTTTAAGTCCTTCTCTCCAACAGTCTCTGAACATCGCTGACAGGGCCATAAACAAAATTAAGGCCCATGCTCTGAACGACCGGATCTTCAGGGCAACTGTCTGGCTAGGCTGTGTGAGTTGTTCACAAGTGTCCTGGAGTTTCTTGCCGGTGCCGACGCAGCTCTAAGGGACACGCTGTGGTCCTGTCGCGGTGACATACCTGGCAGATTTCTTCGGGAAGTTTCACTCCAGGGAGATAGCATGACACTGGTCCATTCAAAGGCCACCATCTGCAGTTTTCTCGCCAAGCTGAAGCTGTACAAACAAAATTTGAGCAGACGTCAATTCAATAATTTCCATCAGCTGGCCAAGGTAGCCTATTATTATTATTATTAGTATTATTAGGTATATTTTAATTGACAAAGGCAGCCTAAAAATAATCTCAATAACGTTAACTGCCTTTCTGTACTTACATGCAGGTGGTTGATGAGCTGATCGATAACCACCTGCTGCGTTACACCGATCACTTGAGGACAGTGAAGGCGGACATGAAGATCCGTTTCAGGGACCTCGACCAATTGGATGTCCTTGAGTGGGTGATGGAGCCATTTCAAGAGGATGTGTCCAGGAGTGAGGCCGAAATTCAAGAAACTCTCATCGACCTCCAAAATGTGGGCCACTCATGGTCAGCGTTTCCCTCTTTTGTAGAAGAGGATTCGTCTTCGGCTCCTTGCTTTTCCGACGTCATACCTTGTTGAGCAGGGGTTCAGTCAAGTTTTGCACATGCAGACGAAGTACCGCAGCCGTCTCAATTTGGTTACCTCAGGCACACTACGGCTCAAGCTGACATCCTTGTGTCCTGATGTTAAAAAGTTGGCTACCAGTCACCAAGCTCAGGGCTCACACTAATGACCGTAATAAATTACGGTGGCTGTTTTTGTTTTTTCTTCGGTTCAGTTCAGGTGGCCGAGCTGTTGTCTTTGTTCGTCATTTGAAATCAAATGACCGTTTGTAGGCTATTCAAATTTGAAGCCTAGTATATATATATTGCCTAATTGAGTGCGCGAACGAACGAAGAGGTCAGGGGGGCATTTGTTCAAAAAAGGTTGAGAACCAGAGCACGCATATTTCCAATACACTATAGCTTTAAGCAGAGCCGGATTAACGCAAAGGCAAACTAGGCACGTGCCTAGGGCCCGACTGGCTGGATGGGGCCCAGACAGAGGGCTACATTTTTTTTTTTTTTTTTTTTTTTTTACAAATGTCCTATCTACAATTTATTTCAATATTTATTAATTAACTAAAAATAGTGACGATGTTTATCTTAACCATAGACTGTTACATTACGTCACATTAACGCCAGCCCATCAGGTGCTGCGAAGCAAAAGCCTAAATAGGCACGCAAAGAAGCACAGCTCGTAATGCAGGTGTGTGCGTTGTCTTGTCGTCATCTATTTTGGAGTGATTGCAATGTATTCTAAATATAAACTTGTACTGTAGATCAGCGTCATTTCTGGAAAAAACATTCACCGCTTTATTACGAGTTTAAAAGAGCGCGAGCGTCATTAACGTGCCCAGACGCGACGCTTTGAATTTGCGCGTACAATGAATAACATCGCGTCGGGAGCTGACTAAAAACGCTACAAAAGTAAAAGACAAGACGTTTGAATTCAAAGTTAAAAAGCCAACACACTACAACATTTTTAAATGTTTCAAATAAAGGATCTCGGGTCTATCTTTTAAATTCTGCTGATGATTATACCCTGTCTGACATCAGCCTACTTACGCCAATAATATCAGTTTAGAATTTTTTTTCTAATCAGTAGCGATCGTGTCTTTCTCTTCCACTTCATTTGTGTATAGCATATTTAAGCTAGCAATGCAATGCATAATATCATATTAGGCCTACTTATATTAATAATATGACAATATCTGCATTCTGCAGTCGAATATTTATTAAATGGGAGGGGAAAATCCTGCCCATACCAGCTATGAAAAAAATGATAAAAGCATATATCACTGAAGTGGTATTCTGGAACTGTGAATAAATTGAATAAAACAGC